ATTAAAAAGTTGTCGTAATGGATTTTTATTAAACTTTCCCATTTCTTGTTAAGCTTTGATCTGAAAACAAATGCAGTTTTAATTACAGGTACAAGATGCATTTATTTTCTTTCTTTAGCATATTTTGTTTTTGCATTTCATGTGGTTGATAGATTTTTATTGTCGAAATACACTTTTATGATTTTTAATATCCAAACCGACTAACTCAACCCGACCCAACCTAACCCAACTGAAACTTGATTGGGTTGGAACACATAAATAGGTTGAGTTGGGTAAAAACCCGACCCGACCCAACCCGACCCGACCCGACCCGACCCAATCCACGCCCACCCCTATTTATTCGAACTTGAGAATAGAACATTCGGGACATTTCTTCAATTATGTCATTCTTCACATGGTTAATTGAGTGTGAGCTATCGCGTCTATATGGACCGTTTGATTCTTCCTTATCAACCCACTCCCAAAACCCACAATTATTACTGCGGCAAAGGAATAATTTTCCTTTGTTTTTATTCTCCTCGACTACAAAACATTTCTCGAATCCATTCTTACATTGTATGCAAGGGCGTTTCCTTTTGCAATCGGTAAAGAAGTGACCTTTAGCTCTACAATCATGATGGATTCCTGAATTCCTTCCTGGCATTCTAAGAGGGGCATCAGCCACTAACAACAAAGGTGAAGTCAATTTTATACCAATTCAACATATTTCCAAAATTCAGAACTGCAGCAAATACCCAACCTAGATAATCTATTCACAACTATATTTCAAAATTCAAGAATACAATAAATCTAAATTCATTAAATACAATAAAATCCCCACAAATCAAATGCCATGTTTCCCCATTTCAATGCACAACATCTCGCTGGAAATTCACTTTCTGATTAAATAGACAACATACTACCTAAGCACATCTGAAAAATAATTGACGTATATGTATTTGTGCTGAGTTCGTTGGAAACCAGTACAGGAAACACGTGGACGGTTGAGGCGATGGCGGTAATTTCTTGGGAAAAACTTTCGAAGACGATGCCAACGTCAAAACCTTTCAGGTACGGCGCGACAATACTCTGTTGATAACTGTGATCGAAGATGGTGAGAGTTTTGTGTCATGAATTGGGTCATTTACATTTATTATCTAGTGGGCTTGTAATAGGTGGGCTAGCCCAAAGCCCAGTTTTGTTTAATATAAGGTTGAAGCTGGAAGAATCGAGAGGGTGAATTGAATTGTGCAAGTTGCAGCTCCTTCCTTTTCCCTCTTCTTCTCCGGTCTTCTTCCCTGTTTCTCCAGGTTCTTCCTCTTCTTCCTGCTGTGTCTCTTCTCTGGTATCCTTCTTCTCCTGCCTCTTCCTCTTCTTCTTCAGTTCTTCTTCTCCTTCTCCTCTGCTGTATCTGTTCTTCCTCTATCGGTCTATCTCTTCTCTTTTATGTTTGTCTTTGAATTGTAATCCTTACATTGTAATAGGACTAATCAATCAATGAAATACAGTTTATATAATTTCTGTTCGTTCAATTAATGAAGTTCCAGCTTATGTTATTAACTATATTCAGTTGTGTGGTGATTGTGGTTGGAAATTGACTGGTTTGAGGTTGAGGTTTTAGCTCAACCATAACAAATGGTATCAGAGCAGCTACAATCCTTGGGTGTCTCTCGTTTGGATATCATTTGGGAAGATTTTAATAGAATTCATGAGCAGATGGTTTCAATATTGACTAAAATGATGGAGGCTCAATCAGCACATATCCCTGATAGTGTTACTGAACCTGATAGTGTTACTGAAATATTTGGCGAGGGTTGCAATGTGCAAGGAAAAGGTTCGGAAGGCCATTCACCTTTTCCATTCGCTGAAATCGCATCTGGTGTTAGAGAGGAGAATGATGGCAAGCACCCGAAAATCGATGGATAGGAGAATTACAGTGCAATCAGAGTGGAGAAGCGCAGTAATTTTGAAGTCCTATCCTGTGAGAATGGTGACAACGTGCACATTCCACTGATTTCTACAAATACATGGTCTAATCAAATCAAAGGATCCGGAAGGAGCGTGTTAATTGATAATGAAAATGAGGAAATTAATTGTTTGGGGATGGAACTAGGGCAAAATACACATGAAGGCAGTTTACTTGCTTTATCTGATCATGAGAGGAGTATTGAAGGTGATGGTGTCCAAAAGGTTAGGAATAGTGAACCGTCTCTTTCTTTCAATAGTCATACTGAAGTAAATTCAAATGTTGTGATTCGCATTGAGGAGAAGAAAATCATTCGACATTGTTCTCCTTCTGCATTTGAAACTGAGAAAGATATTATGATAGAAAATGATGAAGGGCAGGAAAATGGTGAAGGTAATGAATGTATTAAAAATAATGATTTGCAAAAGAATGTCTTAGGTGAGATGGTTGTCGAGAATATAAAAAATTGCAAATCGATGAAAGTTAGTGAATCTAATGCAGTAAAGGTTATGGAAGGTGAAAAAGCACACCTAATTGGCAGTGGGGAGGGAAGATTAGATCGAGTATATGCTATAGTTCGAGATACGACTGCTTCTGGTCTTGGTTTGAACAATTTCGGCTATGCCGGAATTATAATTGCACACAAAAACCAAATGCCTCTTCCAGATGATTCAGCTTAAAAAATTATTGAACTTGTTGAGCAGTTCAAAGAGTGGTCGTCAGTTGAACAGACAAAAGATAATGCTGAAAATATTATACTGGGCAACTCTGAAGAAGAATTGTACATCCCTCCTATGGCTGAGTATATTCATCATTGTGGTAGGTTCATTTCCAGGCAATTAGCTGTATATAATGTGACATTTCATGCTTATGCTAACCTTAGGAATGTTGAAGCTACAGAAAGACTCCTGGAGATGCTTAAGAAGGATGGTAAATTCCTTGATGTTTTCATTCTAGTTCAAGTTATGAAGCACAATCTTCATGTTGGGGACACAGATTGTGGTCCAAAAATTTTTGAAGGTTGCATGAAATCCAATGATCCACCTATGATAGAACTATACGTGACACTTACAGAGGGAGTTCACGTTTGCACCTTACCATCACTGGATTCTATCCGACAACCGAATCGGCTTCATTTTGATGTACACATTCACCTAATGGTTGGATTTGCTCCCAAGGAAGTGCAACTTGCTCAAGAGACTCCAGTCAATATGAATTCCAGGAGCCTTATCCTGAACGTAAGAATGGGAAATGACTTCCTCATTGCAGCCTCCGGTGGTCAATATGTCACCTTGCATTACCTGCTTAATCCAAGGGTGGCGAAGAGAATGAGGCATCTGCTAACGTATAAAGAAGACATCCCGACTTTGAACCTCGAGGAAAGGTTAATTTAAGGGGAAGGGATGTTATGAATTGGGTCGTTTACATTTATTATCTAATGGACTTGTAATAGGTGGGCTAGCCCAAAGCCCAGTTTTGTTTAATATAAGGTTGAAGCTGGAAGAATCGAGAGGGTGAATTGAATTGTGCAAGTTGCAGCTCCTTCCTTTTCCCTCGTCTTCTCCGGTCTTCTTCCCGATTTCTCCAGGTTCTTCCTCTTCTTCCTGCTATGTCTCTTCTCTGGTATCCTTCTTCTCTTGCCTCTTCCTCTTCTTCTTCAGTTCTTCTTCTCCTTCTCCTCTGCTGTATCTGTTCTTCCTCTATCGGTCTATCTCTTCTCTTTTATGTTTGTCTTTGAATTGTAATCCTTACATTGTAATAGGACTAATCAATCAATGAAATACAGTTTATATAATTTCTGTTCGTTCAATTA